TGACATATGAATGGTATTGAGAGGGAAAAGAAAACTTGCCTTAAAGGTACGAGGAACTCCTTCCTGACGACAAGCAATGTAAAGGCAAGCAGAAGCGATTGCATCATTTGCTCTTCCCTTAAGATTCTTGCCATCATGTACTTGTTTGAATAGATTGTTTGCACGATCAACAATAGTTTTAGGTAAATTGATACGGTCTGCCATGTTGTTAATTTCCCTAAATGCATTGATAAGAGTCCGATCTGAGCTGCTCATCTGTGGACAAAATTACACAAACATACATATAAACAAACTTGGAAAGTAGGGAGGTACAATTGGAGACAGTAATAGATTACTATATCACTTACTGTTCTTCTGTTCTGATATTTAGAGACACCAAAGCTATCAAAAGAGGCATCGCCTCTACCAGGACCAATCATAGTTGACAAGTCTGAACCATTCAGTAAAGGATTTTCAGGTCCACCGACACGAGAAGGATCAACTCCAGATTTCTCATTGCTAAATGTTCGCCATTCCGATCCCACATCAATCACCCTGCAAAAGATAAAATTGACATTATTTTTTTTTTCTCTTGGAATAAACATAAATATCTTCATTTCCCTGAAAACCCACCGGTCTCCAACCACAAGGCCGCATTCAGAGCATATTTGGTCCCCAGCTCTATAATCTTCAATGAGAGGAGCCTCTGGATGTGCATAACAGCAGACTGTGTTGGCATCATATCTGGGGACAAAATAGTGACATGGTTAGCGCTCTATTGCACTCACATTCTTACAAGCAATGAGTCCAAAACTAGAGCATTTCATCATGATGCACCTATTGAAGCATTGTGTACAGGATGCAGTTTAATTTTCAAAACGTCAATAAGTAGACATCAAGTAAAGGAACAATAGGTACACTAGAACAATCTCACTGATATAAAAGTCTTATAAATCGTCACTCTTCAATAATTCAACATCAATAATTTGGGCGCAGTTGTGACTCAAGTGCAAAAGGCATACCAGATGTTGAATGTTGCAAAGAAGTCATAAGAGGTTAGAAATAATGTCATTCCATATTGCAAACTCTGAGGAAAAGCTAACAACTCTGTGGTGCACATAGCAAAAATACAATACTTTTAGAAAGACATTATTAATGCGATTGATCTCAATCTAATGACAGCTGCCTCATTGGGTTAAATTGCCTCCAAAACAAGAGAAGTCTAGGTGTTCAGCCTGTAGGTACTGACAGACAATACTGTCATGCATCACAGAGACATGGTGCGTGAATAAAAATACAAATATACTACAGAATAACGCTAGAAGATAATAATCTGAACTCGTAAAACACGTGTAAAACGCTGTAACTGTAAAAAACGAAGGATTCAACGAGATAGATAGAGGAAGTTACCTCGAGGAACTCGCCATTTTGTACTCTTTCAATATAAACACCAAAATAAAGCAGATTCGTATTGCGGCTGAAATTCACATTTCGATTGTCTTGGTACCTTCGGTCAATCTATCGAAAGTGATTTCGAAAAAAAAAAGAAAAACGTCGCACATCCCCTGGATTTTCCTTTTTTTACAACTTTCTGAAACGCTCTAAAGCAAAGAGTCGGTCCATTTAGGGGTTATCCCTGTCATGATTCATGATTCATGCACAAAATGTGTAATCATGGAGACCGGGACTTGTGCGATGATATGTATCACTCCGCCGTCGCGCGTGGTGAGGGTATGTGGCGCAAACGGCGCAAAGTGCGAATGCTTCTTGGGCTGGTTCGACTAGACTAGATGCCTCTCAGAAGCTTTTGTTCCGAATATACCCAGAAACTCAGCTGAAAAATCTGATCATGACTAAATCTCGTAATTTACAGCAATCGTAGTCACCGATGAAGACTGGGCAGCGTTGAAAAAGCGAACTTCCCTTTCCGATAGATGAGAAGTAAAGTTGCCGCCGGCCCGGTTGGAGAAGGGACATAACTATAACTAATTGCGACTAACATCTTACCAAAATAAATCAGCAGAAAATAGCGGACAAAATCTAAAAGCCTTCGAAACAGTCCTCCTTTTAGGCATTATCATGATGGGTATGAGAGATGCCATGCGATGCGAAATGTGCCTTGCAGGCAGGTGTCGTGATGAGTCTTTAAATGTCGTGCCTTCATTACATTTACATTAACATTAACAAACAGTTCTTGGTAAAATAATTTGTTTTTATGATTTTCAACTTAAACTAAAGTGGTTTTCGAGCCCTACGGCGCCGGCTCGCACAAAGTGTTACAAAGCAGACGCTGCACTATTTTCTACAGCGGAGACGAGCCACGAAAGAGCGGTTTTTCGGGGCGGCGGGGGGTGCACGGGAGAGGGAGAGGGTGAAGGGGAAACACGAGGAAAGCGAGAGAGACGGAAGTGAATTTGCCTTTGCTCAGTGCGTGCGGCAATCCCAATCACTCCCTCCTCCTTCTCCTCCCTCTCTTGCTGGGAAAATGGCCGGGTCAGGCAGTAGGGGCAATGGCAATGAATTGTATGAAATACTCGGCGTACCCAAATCTGCCTCGGATACGGACATAAAGAAGGTGAATATTCCGACACGACGGCCGCTGACTGGGTGCCTGTGCAATTATCCCTAGACTTCACCATGTGCAATGTTCTCGCACCTTCGAAACGCATCTCTCTAGTCCTGCCAAGGCCAAGGCAAATGCTTTCTTACAATTTTCCACATTGATAAAATCTTGTTTTTCGTTAGTCACGTTGTTTATTTTCTAACTTTTGCGAATGCTTGGCCTGTTCTCTATGTATCTCAAGACCAGTTGCCTTTGTCATACTCGCTGACCTAACCAATCTTTCGACTTTGCCTAATGTTACCGTGACTTCGCCAAAATAATTGGTGTTTGTTGATTGCTCTGTTTTCACAATTCGTTAAATTGTAAATTATTTTAATTCAAGTTCTGTACCTTGTTGGGCACTTTATCGTCCAAATCTGTAGTGTTACTAACCTCAATGGTGTCCTCTTCAAATGTTTTATTTGGTTGAATGGAACCATGAGGTGTCACTTTTCTTCCTTTGTTGTGACTAACATGATGGCAGTTGCATAACCAGCTGACACTAATAATTGTGTGTTGCGAACATATTCTCTCTTGATACTCAACCTGTCACCACTGTCTTATTTTGATGGGAACTTCAGATGAATTGACTTCCTAATATAGTGCTCTCATTTTTATATATTTTCTCTTGTTCTTTCTAGGCATATCGCAAACTTGCCAAGGAATTCCATCCCGATAAAAATCCAGACGCCGGCGATAAATTTAAAGAAATCTCCTTTGCCTACGATGTTTTGTCCGATGCCAAGAAACGTCAGATTTATGACAGATGTGGATTGCAAGGCCTTCAAGAAAGTGGAGGGGAGGGACCAGGGTTCGGTGGTCATGACATATTTTCTCAACTTTTTGGAGGGGGTCTGTTTGGAGGGATGGGAGGCATGGGGGGGATGGGAGGCCGCCGGTATCAAGGGGAGGACACCATACATCCCCTAAAGTAAGTGTAATTACAACCTTTCAGTGGCCTATAGTAAATTAATAAATGTGTTCTAATGTCAATGTGATTTTGGCAGGGTTTCTCTTGAAGATCTGTATAAGGGCAAAACATCCAAGTTGCAGCTTAGTAAAAATAAAATCTGCTCAGCATGCAAAGGGTGAGTATTGTTCTTAACTCTCAGTACCATACCTTTGATAAATTTTCTAGTTTTTATTTTATTTTTCTTGTCTGGTGCAGGAAAGGCTCAAAATCCGGTCAAAGTTATCAATGTCGTGGCTGCAGGGGTAATGGATACAAGATTCAGTTCAAGCCCATTGTGGGAGGCATGTCAGCCCAAGTAAATGTGAAGTGTACAGACTGTAGTGGGGAAGGTAATGTGCAGTTTGTAAGATTGTGTATTTAACATGACATAAATTAATTTCTGATTTATATGTCTTATTTTTTCCTTTGTCTCATTCAGGTCAGACAATTCCAGAAGGTGAGAAGTGTGGTGTCTGCCGGGGTAAGAAAGTTGTTATTGAAACAAAAATCTTAGAAGTTAATATCACAAAAGGTATGGAAGATGGTGCCCGTATCACATTCTGGGGCCAAGGAGATGAGCAGGTATATTTTTTTCATTCTTGTCTTGTCATTCAATCTAGCTTTTTTTTACTGTACTCATTGTTGTTTTTTTAATGTTTGTGTAGCCTGGTATGGAGGTAGGAGATGTTGTCATAGTTTTGCAACAAAAGCCACATGAAAAATTCCAGCGGTCGGATTGCGATCTATTCATGACGCATACAATAACTCTCACTGAAGCACTTTGTGGCTTCCAATTCCTAGTGAAACATCTTGATGGTCGAGATATAGTGGTTAAACACCCCGCCGGTCAAATTATTAAACCAGGTGCGTGCCTCTGCTCGAAAACTTATTGCTTTGTGTTGACCTAGCGGCTCAGTTTCACTGCATTCTCTCTCTTGTTCTACAGGTGATGTTAAAGGTATTCCAAATGAAGGTATGCCATTGCCCAAGAGTCCTTTTGAGCATGGCAACTTGTTTATCAAATTTGATGTTTCATTCCCAAGTAATAACTTTGCTGATATTGAAAAATTAAAGGTAATTTCTTTGTTGGAAGCAGTCTAGTTCATGGTGTCATGATGTTTATTTGCATCTGGTTTTATCTCGTGTGTACATGTTTTGGGGGATTTTTACTAATGGATTTTGTTGTGCTCACAGATGCTTGAAGGAGTTCTTCCTCCTCGACCTGATTTCACCATGCCTTCTGGTGAACATGTGGAAGAAGTCTGTCTTCAGGAATATGATCCAAATGATAGAAGGAGCCATGGAACATCAAGAGGGGATTCAGACGACGAGGAAGGAAACACATCAAGGATTCAATGTCCAGCTCAGTGATGTTATTTTATCTTTATTAGCTACATGGTCAGCTAAAATATGTGTTATGGTAAAACGCGAGTCGTTTTTTAATCTGTTTTGGCTGAATCTTTTAATCACATTTACATGGATAAAATGCACGTTGTGCTGAAATGACACTGACCCAAGCTGAAGTTCAAAATGGCCTTAAATTTTGAGTACTTACAGAATCATTCGTGTTTTTTTTTTCTTTTTAGCTATTTCTGCCCTATATCTTAATTAAAAATTAACTCTCCAATTCCGATTGAGGCCATTTTGGAGTTTAGTTAGTTCTTTGTGCAAATATTCAAATATAGTTGACCTTTCATTTGATGTTAGACATCAATTTTCAGCTCACAGCTAATGCTTTAATTTATACTCCAGAGATTTATTTTTAAATAAATTTTTGAATTATTGAAGTCAGGGAAGTTAATCCATGTGATGCCTATTGAATGTAGTAGTTTGCAAAGTTACCCCTATGCCACTGTGTTGTAAGTTGTTGCATTCTCTGATGTACAATATAGTACATTCAGTGATCTTGCAACTAGAACTGGATTTTGCTTTCAAAGGCTACAAACCAAAATTATTCAAAACCTCTGAATCATTGAAATCATGTGCTGTAAGATTCGTTGGAGAACACATAGCTTGAAAACTATTTCAGGGTCAGGGGAGGCTTCTAATTAGTTGAAATTTTAGACTAATATTAAATGTAATCTTTGGGCTGAAACATCACTGCCCAATTGACTTAGAGCTGAGCTTGATAATCTGTTGCCCTGATTTCTGTGACGCTGTAAAGTATGTGTGAGGCCAACAACACTATCTTGTACCACTATGGTATATTTTGTGTGCGTGTGTGTGAATATGTGGTGCAAGTTTGAATGTTATCTTATGTTAAAGAAGACATTGGGTTTTCCCCTCATTTGTTTAAAAATATAATCATTGATAGTGTGGCTGCGTTCATGGAAAACTGAAGGCACATATGTGTATCATTATTGGTTAGGGATGGTACTGCCAAAGTACACGTATTAGTTTTATGCTCTAATAGTAATTCATATTGCAATTTTTTTCATACTTGTTATTCTTTAAAAAATTTAGACCTCTTTTTGTCTCAGAAACTCGTAAGTTCGGATTATGACTGAGAATTGCAAAACACTTTGAAATTGTTTCTGGCAAGACTGAGGGTGTTCACAATTTTTCATGATAGCTATAGTATTGCAACCAGTGCAGTGATTGGTGGGCATTTTGGTGAGTGACATTTAATTTGTGATCTTTATTGAGTGAATTTAAGAATGTAAGCCAACAATCCTATTGATGAACAGAACCAATAAAAGTAAGTGGGATGGTTGTTAATACAACTACAAACGCGAAGGAACAGCTTGTTATCATTCCATATCTTGTATTCCTATGTTGTGATAAATTGTTTCTCAATTACATATTACTATGGTGTACCTCTGCTCATAGCACTCCAAACTTTGTCAAATTTTTAATGAAATTTCTATACCCTTTTAGCTCGGGTTCTCATTTTGACCAGGCTACAACGATTCCCATTTGACCTTTTCAGTAGAAGGTAGACAAACCCTCAATTTAATGCCCCATTCCCATTTAGGTGACCTTTTTGTAAAATCTATCCTACAGGCCTTTAATTCGCCGTTTGGATCATCGGCTAATGGTGAAGCGGCTATTATGCTCAAGTTGGGTTATAACAACAACGACGGGCTTGCTCAACTAAACTGTGTCGGTAGTCACATGGCCTCCGGGCCGTTTCCTTGCGCAGGGAAGGCCTTTTGTGTAGGGCATTAGCACCACCGCGACAGGGTTTCCTGTACGCTCCCCAAGCTCCAGGCAGGGGAGGGGAGGGGGATGGGGGTCAGGTGAGGCTGCGAGCGAGCTATTCCTGGCTGGGGCAGCTGGGGCGGTGCGCGGTGCGGGCCGCGGCACCACCGGGCCGGGTCCCGCGAGGGGCAGAGGGGCGCCTGGCCAGCGCGCGCAGCTCGCGCAGCCGGTGCCTCTGGAGCTGGGCGCGCCGGCTCCGCCCGCTCGCTCCGCGGGGGTGGCCCGGCCCGGGTGTAGTCCCGGCTGCGCGCGCGGGGCGTCGCGACGTCTTCTCATCTCCGGCGGTGGTGGCGCTGCTGCCCCTGCCGAGCCCCCGGCGGCGCAGCGCGGAGCTACGCGGAGCAGCCGAGCCGCGCGCGTGCCGGGCGTAGCCGGGCGTGCACCCCCTCGGCCCAGCCCGGCCAGACCGGCAGGCCCGCCTCCTCTCCACACTCACCCCCGTGCTCGCGCACCGCGCCGCGCCAGCCGCGCTCCGCAGTAGTCCAGTCCACACTCCGGGCGGGGCTCTCGCGGCGGCAGCAGGACGCGCTCTAGCACCGCGGCGACGCAGCGCACACCGCCAGCACCGCGCAGGCGGCCCGGGCCCGGGCGAGGGCGCTAGAGGAGGGGGACGGTGCGGTACGGGCGCATCGCAGCCAGAGGCTAGCCCGAGGCGCGCAGCCCGCGCAGCCGCCACCACTCCGAGTCCAGTCTTGTGCCGAGCGTCGTCCTCAGCGGAGCCGCCGTTAGGCCATCCCGCCGCGGACCCGGCCGCCCCGCCCCACCCCGCCGTTAGCCCAGGTGCGCGCCGTAGTACACCGCGGGTTATCGCCGAGCTTATCGCGGGGAGCACGCCGACGACGACGACGCCCTCCCTGCGGCGGGGAATGCCACGCCGCTGACCTCCTCGCGCATCGCACATCGCCGCCGCCATGCTGGAGCCGGAACAGCAGCAGGGTGCGGCGCCGGCCGACGGCGACGGCAGCGACCCCCACCACCAGGACTACGGCGGCGACGGGCCGCCGCCCGACAAGGTGGAGGACGACATCGCCGACATGAGCTTGGACTACGGCTCCAGTGAGTATTGCAGGGGGTTTGCGTCATCGCCCCGTCGCGTTCGTCACCCGCCCCGCCCACCGCCGAGGACCTCCGGGTGCGTCAGAGGCCCTTTGCATCCTGCTGTCGTTTTACACGTTCGTACTCAGTGGCTTCCTCCTCCCCCGCTCGCACGTGCGGTCCGTGCGGGGCCGTGCACACCCACACACGCACGCAGGCAGTGTCCGCCCATCCCCTCCCCCACGCAGCCCTTTGGCCGGCGGGCGCTGGCCGCGCCTCCCGCGCGCTGCTCGCCGGCGACCGGAAGGCCCCTTTGCGTCGCGGCCCTATCAGTCTGGGGCTTTAGTGAAACACTCCAGTTTCCCGCCGCCGCCGCCGTCGGGTCGCCCGTCTCGTCCCCAACGACGGAGGGTGCCCCATCGAAAGGTTATACGCGTGGCATTTGAGGGAAAACGACAAAAATGTTTGTCGTAGGGTGGCCCACAGACCCCGGAGAATTTCGTATAGTTATGCGCAGTTAAACTGTACCGAGTGGGAAGGCTAATACTCCCCTGTGTTGCGGGTTTGCATACCCAAGCGGCTATGGCGCCTTACGGGCAGATCGGGTAGGCAAACCCGGGACACCGTGGTGTATTGCCTGTACAGACGGTATGTACCGCATGTAGCTGGGCTGGCGGTCTCTCATCACGGTGCCTCACGGCTCCTTGCAAGTAGGCAACGCGCCCATCTGCTTGCATGCGGTACATCAGCACAATTACAAAATTTATCGGGGTCTGTAGACCACCCTGTAAGATGCAGGATCGTGAGGGGGCAAACGGGTAAAGGGTTAACAAAATTCCTATAAACGTTGGTGTGGCAGTTCTGAAAGCGGGGAGCTATCCGAACGCGCTCCATGGATGTAGGGGGTTCAAGCGCATACATGTAGGCAACGGCGTTGTCGACCGGCGGGCCTAGCGGTGGGGGCTGGAGCGGGCCGGAGGCTGGAGCGGGCCGGAGGCTGCGCCCTTCGCCGGAGCGCCGGCCGCACCGCCGCACCACCCTCAGCCTGGAGGGCCTGGAGCCTCCGGGGACGAAGGGGTGGGGCTCGCTCGTTATGGAATGGGGGCGCTCCAGCCTCTGGAGTGCCTGCTCTTGCTCACTCCAGCTCGCCCTTGCTCGCTCCAGCCCGCTCCAACCCCTGGAGTGCCTGCCTTACTTCACTTCACTTCACTTTGATACCGTAGGTCTCCATAGACCTAGCTCACTCCAGCCCGCTTCAGCCTCCGGAGTGCCTGCTGTAGCTCACTCCAGCACGCCCTTGCTCTCTTTAGTCTGCTCCAGCCTCCGGAGCGCCTGTTCTAGCTCACTTCAGCTCGCCCTTGCTCGCTCCAGCCCGCTCCAGCCTCCGGAGCGCTCATACTCCAGCTCGCCCCACCCAGCCCTTCAGCCCGTCTCGCACAATCTGGTCGGGAAGACCTTTGGGCCGCCGGGTCGCGCCTCAGACATACAAGACGGACAGACCGGGCCGTTTGCGGGAAGAGGGAAGAAAGTCCACTCCGGCGGGCTCGGCACTTTAGGAGCCCTCGCCTCGGCCGTCACTCCCACGCTGTTGCTGGGAAGCGATCGTCCAGGAGGGTGGTTTGGGAGCGGAAAGAGCCGCTGCGGTGGTGCGGATTTAGTGGCGCTGCGGCGTAAAGCGACCCCACGCGCGTCGTCAGCGAGAGGGAGGGAGAGAGAGAGAGCGGTACCCGCGCGTTCAACAGTATGGCGAGGGGGTGGGGGAGGGAGGGTGCAAGGGCCGTCGCCGGCCGGGCCGGGGCCGGTGCGGCCAACCGGGCCGTCTATATGCTCTGTCCGGGGCGCATGAGGTCCCATGGGAGGCACAGCACGCCGGCTCATGGGAACACTGCTGCCCGGCGGCGGCCCCGGCGGCCGGGAGGGGACGGGCGCATGTCGGGCCCATGTCGCGCATGGAGTCACGCCATGAGAGTGCGGCCGAGCTCGCGGCCCTCTGGTTCGCAGGAAATGAGATTGATATTCGTTCGGGAACATCGAAAGCGGGCGTCACCACCGACAATGTTCGACTACTGTACTACTTGCCGCAGGCGCAAGGTGCAGGTGCACTACCGGCGGCGTGGCGGAGCTTGGTCTCGGTGCTCCCTCACCTACGCCCGCTTGCATCTCAAGAAGCACCCCGCCCGCCCGGCCCGACCTCCGGCCGTCCACACGGGGGGCGCTATTTAGCGAAAGGTCACGGGCGCAGACATGGAGAACGTTCCAGGGAATGTGACCCCCTGCACAAACCTCTGCCCCCACCCCCGCTTCGCATCCGATTCCCCCGGCCAGCCGGCGCGGCACAGGGTGGTTCCCGGGGGCGGGGGGCAGGTGCCGAGGCAGGTGCGCCTGAGTGCTTGCGAGGCCTCCCGCCCGGCTGCTCCCGGCTGCTGCCAGCCCGGCGCTGCACGGGGTGGTTGGATAGCTCGAGGCCTGGAGGCGAGTTAGGCCCCTGGCGCGCGGAGCAGGCCTGGAGGCTGCCAGCTCGGCTGTCAGGTCAGCTAGCAGGACGTCACCACTCCACTCCGGGTATTGATCGCCGACCTGACTGGGTCCCGCACGCCCGCTCACCTTCCCCGTGCTACCCGTCCTGCGTCCCGGCGTGCACTAAGCCGGGCTGCGAGCGCGAGTTGGTGCTCCCGCAGGATCCGCGGTACCCGGGGGTGGCTTCCGTCAGGGCCTTTGCGCCGCCCCCGGCCGAGCCGCTCCCGGAGGCTCGCGGGGGCGGCCCCGGGAGCACGGCGTCGAGAGGCCCGGCGGCCGTATCCGTATTGATCCCGCGGGATGGGTCGGGATGGGATGGGGGAGCCGGCGGTGCGGCTGCGGCACAGCATCGCCGAGTCTGCTTGCCGCCCGCGGCACGGCCCCCGCGGCCCCCGCCGCGCCCACCGCCCGCGCCACCCCCGCCGCCCCAGGACCTCCGCCGGACTCCTGGGGGGGACTGACGACTGACGCACTCTGAATCATCCCGATAAAGGCGCGATGACGCACCGGTCCGACCCGGCACCGCGAGGGCCGCGGCGTCCGAGTCGCGCCCCGCGGAGCCTCCGGGGCGCCAAGGCTGCGGCTGCGGCCGCCCCCCGCGCCGAGCCACGCCACCATGGACTCGGTGGGGGCATCGCGAGTACAAGGAGCTCCTTATGCAGCCCCCCAAAACTGCCATTAGACCTACGTCTCCATCAGCTTTGATGTATCTCCGTTGTGCGCGGGCCCTGTCTTTGCGATCGCCATCAGCCCCGCCCCGCCCCGCCGCCGCCCACCTGACAGTGGGCAGGCGCCGCCGGGCGCCGCGGCCCGCGCAGCCCCCAGTGACGCAACAGAAGCTACCCGCCTCGCTGCCGGAACAACCCCCAGCCACCCCCACCCCTGGGCGGGCGCCGTGCCGGGCCGTGGCCCCGGGCCGCGCGTGGGGCGTGGGGCTGCTGCTGCGGAGCGCGGAGGCCGCGGGGCCGCGGGGCGCGGCCGCGGGCG